TTTTTTTGTAATCAGAATAATTCTAAAGCAGTCTCAACAACAAAAACACTTAACAGACATCACCTGCAACATGGCAGCAAAGAAAAAAAAGCCTTTAAAATAGCTACAGTTCAAATTTCAAGAGCATATAGCATTGGGGAGAGGTTAATATTTTAAAGTTTACAATTTGACAAAAATCAGTTTTAACTCAGAGGTAGAGCTTTTTTTCTTTCCTTTTTTTTTTTTTAAATGGTGACTCACACCTGTAATCCCAGCACTTTGGGAGGTCCAGGTGGGTGGATCATTTGAGGTAAGGAGTTGGAGACCAGTCTGGCCAAACTGGTGAAATCCTGTCTCTAAGAAAAATACAAAAATTAGCTGGGTGTGGTGGTGCATGGCTGTAATACCAACTACTTGGGAGGCTGAGGCAGGAAAATCGCTTGAACCAGGGAGATGGAAAAAATGCAGTGAGCTGAGATTGTGCCACTGCACTCTAGCCTGAGTGACAGAGTGAGACTCTGTCTTAAAAAAAAAAACAAAAAAACAAAACGAAACAAAACAAAACAAAAAGCACCAGGTACGGTGGCTTACACCTGTAATCCCAGCACTTTGGGAGGCTGAGGCGGGTAGAGCACGAGGTCAGGAGTTCAAGACAAGCCTGGCCAAGATGGTGAAACCCCATCTCTACTAAAAATACAAAAATTAGCCAGGTGCCTGTAATCCCAGATACTCAGGAGGGTGAGGCAGGAGAATCACTTGAACCCAAGGGGCGGAGGTTATAGTAAGGTGAGATCAAGACATTGCACTCCAACCTCAGCGACACAGTGAGACTCTGTCTCAAAAATAAAAAAATTGACCCTTGGAATGTTCCTCAAGGGAGAACATTTAGTTAGTTGATGATCCACATACTGCAGGTCACCGTTTGGAACCCACAATGTTTTTATTGAACATCAGAGATTTATTAAGCCACAAAATTTTATTGTGGAAAGAGACCGCAGAGGATTATTAAGTCTACCTCATCATTTTGGAGAAAAGGGAACACAAAGTTTAAATCATCCAGCCAAGATAACCATTTAGTAATGCTGAACTAGACTTAAGAACCCAGGTCTCCTCACTCCAAGTCTAGTGTTCTCCTTCGACCGTGCACCCACGAAGAAGCTGATGGCTAAGTGAAGGACTGAGCTGGTATGAGAATACCTACAACCCCATTTCCGGCTCCACGGGCTGCACCACACACAAGTAAAAGTCTGGTGGAGAATCCTACCAAACCACAGCATCCCTGTCCTCGAACCTACATTCATACTCTGAATGAAGTGTGGACAGATGTTCTGAGCTAGAGGGAAGGCAGCATCTGACAAAGCTATTACTGCCTTGAAGTTGAATAGTCTGTGCACTGACTTTTGGCTTCCAGAAAAGTCTTTGCCTGAAAGCAATGAAGCCAAAAGGAAACTGAGATAGAAGAGAAAACATCCTCAAGTTTGGCTGGGCTTAGACTCAGCCTCCACAGAGGAGAATGTTTTCTCTTCGGCACGAGAGGGAGAGTGCTTGCAATCACATATGGGGGTGAGGGAGGCAGATTTAACAGTGATTCTCCCCAGTTCCTAACTCATATCTGGTAGTAAATTGGGGACTCAATGAAGCACATTCATATTTTTAGGCTACTGGGGGACAAGTTCCTAATTTTTTTTTTTTTTTTTTTTTGAGATAGAGCCTTCCTTTGTCACTCAGGCTGGAGTGCAGTGGTGTGATCTTGGCTCACTTGCAGCCTCTGTCTCCAGGTTCAAATGATTCTCATGCCTCAGCTTCCTGAATAGCTGAGACAACAGTCATGTGCCACCACACCTGGCTAATTTTTTGTATTTTTAGTAGAGACAGGGTTTCGCCATGTTGGTCAGGCTGGTCTCGAACTCCTGGACTCAAGTGATCCTCCCCACGTCAGCCTCTCAAAGTGCTGGGATTACAGGCATGAGTGACTATGCCTGGCCAAGTTCCTAATTTTAGAAATTCTTTTCACGGAGTACTGAGTAGCTCTGACTGATAATATCATCAATTCTTAGAGATTTTCATCTTTTTAAAAATGAGACTATAATGTTTAGGAAATGAAGATTTAATGAACAAAAATGATCATAAGGACACATTTTAACAACAAAAAAAAGTAAAGCCGCCGGGCACGGTGGCTCAAGCCTGTAATCCCAGCACTTTGGGAGGCCGAGGCGGGTGGATCACGAGGTCAAGAGATCGAGACCATCCTGGTCAACATGGTGAAACCCC